CTCTCTATTGTCAGCACCGACTGTGGTGCTCAAGGTTACTACTGGGCTGGGCAATGGTACATACTGCTCCGAGCGGGCATGGGACTTCCCGCTTCGCGTTCTATGCTGCAAACGTCCATGCAGGTCACTCTCAAAGAGTTTGCTGATCACGTTGCTCCTACTCTGCTATTGGCATCGTACTGCGTTCGGTCCTTTATGGATGATATTGCACAAGGAGCTAGTTCTGTAAACGACAGAGACCTCCTTGCCGAGGGAGTGAACACCACGATCACTAAGAATGGCTTCTCTGAGCAGCGACCTAAGAGGATACAGAATTGGGTGAACGGCGTGGATAATGAAGACGACAAAGCCGGGGCGCTGTTTGGGGTCTTGTGGAACCCGCAGACGGACTCCTTATCACTGGCGGCGGTCCCTGATCTCGGTCATGCAGGAAGTGACAAAGGCCGATCATCGAGTCTTACACTGCGTAAATATATCTCCTGGTTGAACTCTCACTTTGACCCGATGGGGCTGAGGCTTGAGGAAGCCATGGCAGGTAGGCAGTTGCTGCGTACAGCTGTTCGTTCGGGCATCTCACTCGATGATCCTTTCCCAGCTGAGCTTGTGAACAGGGCTCGGGCGTTACATGATACGTATGAAACGGCTCGAGCAACTCCTCGATTCGTAGAGGGCGAGACTCTCGTGGTTGCATGCGACGCTTCACTGGTCGGTTGGGCTTGCACGGTGACTGACTGCCAGGGTACTAGACTCTATGCGCGTGGAGGTCTGCATGACGCCGGGCACGTACCTTATCTCCACACCCACATGGAGATTCACAACAACATTATCGTCTGCATGACGCCGGGCATGAAAGCTGGAGTATACCACGGCTTGAGCTCTATGCATTGGTAGAAGCCCGGAAAGTCATCGACGGTCTCTTACGGGATGACCCGGTAGTGAGGAAAATCGTTCTCGTCAGCGACAGTGAGATTAATGTTCAACGCCTCACATCGAAAGGTAGCATTTCCAACAAGCTGGTCCCGTGGGATGTCCGTACTATATCATCTATGAGACAGTGGCTGAGCACAGTACCGGTGGTTCTAGGGCATGTTCGAGGAGCTGGTAATCCTTCTGACTGTGCATCTCGAGCGCTGTACCCGAATTCGTATGATTCGAGCCTCTATCGGTCCGCGATATCGACATACGTGAAGGAGTTCGATGGTATGCGAGAGCGCTTGGTATCTCCGAATGCTGATGACGATCTTGGTAACGGCTCGCTCGACGCTATGATGTTGAATGCTACACATGATCCTGTTGAGAACGTCGAAGACAGCAATGTCGTCAGCGTCGAGGAGCAAGTGTTGACGGCCCAGACGAACGACCAATATTGCGAACAGATTAGAAGGGTCCTAGCTCATGAGCCGGTGGAGCTTTCCACTTCTGAAGCTCAGCGTATTCGTCGGACGTATGTCGTTGACTCGGGTGGCAATATCTGTAGATGTCATGCGATCTGTGGCAGCCAGTATTTCGTCCCGATAGCCTCTCGTTCGGTCGTGATCAGTATGTTGCACGATTTGTACGCTCACCCGGGGGCCAACAAGCTGTACTGCATCATACTCAAGACCTACCACCTGTATTGGCCTAAAATGGTCCGGGACATTCGGCAGTGGACATCTTCCTGTCGCGTGTGCATTATGAGTAGACGGCAGCGTGCCGAACCTCCTTCATTCGGTTCGCAAATTCGTTCATCCCAGTTATGGGAATTATTAGCTGTAGATATTGGTGGTCCCTATGTTGGTACCACTGCTACTAGAGATGTTGTTGACGTCCCGACATACTCACTGATACTAACTGAGTCAGTCACACGGTATGTTGTGGCCCGGGAACTCCCCTCTAAGAGTGGGAAAGATGTGAGTAGGGTGCTGGAGCAATGCTTCTGGGAATTTGGATTCCCGATGGCGTTGGCTAGTGATGCGGATATTGTGCTCCGACAGGGTGAGGTCCGATCGCTCTGCAAGAGATACGGAGTGGTATGTGTTCAACATCCTCCCTATGGAGCTATTAGGGCTTGGTGGGAGCCCGGTCACCACTTGTTGCATCTTTCGTTGCGCCAATTAATTGCTGCCAATAATGCTGAAGATACCGACTGGGCTCAGTTTCTTCCTCAGGCAGTGTGGGTGTGTAATAACGCCACCTTGCCGCTTGCCAGTGTGGATGGGGAACGATTCACCCCCTGTGATCTGGTTCGGCTATGTGGTTCCTCACCTCCCCCTACGTGGAGGCCTACTAATGAGATGACGGATGAGCTGAAAGCTTACTTGGAGCGACACTATGTTGATGCAGGCCCATCTCGCACAGCGTTGCATATGCGTCAAGCTCGCCAAGTTGAAGCTGCTAGGTTATTCAAGGAGTATCTCCGCGCTTGGGATGTGCATCGGTTACGCCTACTCGATAACTTGGATGCCTCCAAGAGATGTCGTCAGCCGGTGGGGGACGCAATAGTTTGCGGTGATATTGTCCTGTATATCGTCCATCTGCCAAGCTTACTATGTCGTGGTCCTCCCGCTTGTACAAAGTTATGGAGATTCGTGCTCAG